ATATATATATTAGGTGGTCCAAACTATATGGTAAAAAATATAAGTAGTAATATATTGCTTCCACAAGCCTTAAAATTTTCCCATTTGGTTCTATATAGATAAGGTCTGTAAAATTTTATTCATATTCATTAACATTTAGAGGTCAATCCATTTTGTATTATACTTGTAGTGTAGGACTGAATTTTCTTGCCTCAAGATGATAGTTCCATATACACAACACATTATATTGGGTATATTTCAATGTATATAGCCTAGTTGCCTATTTGAAAAGGGCAAAGAGTCAAGTATTGAGTCAGGGACTGACAATGACAGGTTGAAAACAGGAAACACAGAGACATGTTAATATTAATCAGATGGAAGGCTTTATTTCATTTATAACTCATCAGTTCTACAATTATTTCATTATCAATCTAGTAGTATATTTTGCTGAATAAAGACAATGTGTTTATCTAGCCCCTCGAAAAAATCCTTATTACGCATTAAATGGAAAAAAAAGAGGACATTGGATTGACCTCTAAATATGCTTTTCTTAAATGATCCAATTTTTTTTCTGGGATGCATTTTTGTACCCCTAATGGACAAAAATAATCTCCTCCACCTCCACTTCCTTCTCTTCTCCGTTCTCCTCCTCCACCTCCCACTTCAAATGCACATCATCATCATCATCCAGGAGCCTTCTACATACACACCTCAAAGTAAGTGAACTTTTCTACCATTTTTGTTGAATTTAGGCAATTTTCGGTGAGCTGGAACCAATTACCCAAAAACCCATTGAAACAATGGTTTCGGCTAACGAACAACCTGCTGGAACGGATTGTGTTCGTTAACCGAGGGACCACTGTATTAATATTATTACATTATCGCCCCCCAGGCCCCGATGCGGGTCAGTGACCTGTGCCCGGGTGGGCTAATCCCTGTGTAAAAAAAAAAAAAAATTTAGGGGTTCGGGATTGACGGTTAATCCGAAAGTCGGTTGATCGAGGTTTTACTGCATATATATGCAAGTAAATTACTGTAGGTGCGCGTGATCCAGGTATATGCTGATAACCACAAGGAAAAAGACGTATGAGAGCGCCCAGTAACACCAGCTGATGGATGGCACGCCTGGTAGAGCTGTACTGATAGCCAGTACCAAGCTGCCTAGAGCAGCATTTCTTAACCGGGAGTCTGCGGACACCAAGGGGGCTGTAGAAAGCTGCTAAGGGGTCTGTGGGATAGCAGGGAAAATTTATTGAATCAGCCAAGTTTACCATATACAGTGATCCCTCTGTTAACGAAATTTCGGTTAACGAATTACCTTCCATAAGAATTTTCAATTCAGTTAACGAACAAAAATTCAGTTAGCGAAATTTTTACGAAATCATCTCAACATGTTTTTGCTTGCTCACCAGTTGGAATATTAGTTCGCCAATACAGTAATCGGTTCTAGCGCTTAAATTCGTTCCCATTTGAGTAAATATCAAGAAGGTTGTACTATTCAATAATTTTCCAAGTTTTATTTTAAAATTTTAGTCATTTTAACACTTATTTAACATAATTGCAGTACAGGAAACTAGTTTTTGGAGCGCCAATTAGCCACTTGACTCACCCAGCAAGGCGTCAGTTTGTATCTCTGGTCAGTGGAGGTAACATCTTGCTTGTGGCTCTCTTGAACATAAACTATTTTTACGTTTTTACAGTACAATTATTGGTCATTCTGAAATTTATTTTACATATTGACAATATATAGTGCAGTGCAGTGTTGATTTAAAGAAAATCTTGAATTACACCTAGTGAACTTAAAATTTTATTGGTGAAATGACGGCATGAAGCATGGGGTGATTTTTCTTCCACCCCCACTTCCTTCTCTTCTCCCTTCTCCTCCACCCCCACTTCTAATTCCCATCATCATCAACCAGGAGCCTTCTACATACACACCTCAAAGTAAGTATACTTTACTGCATTTATTTTTACTTTGTATGTAATTTTCGGTGATCTGGAACCAATTACCCAAAATCCCATTGAAACAATGGTTTCGGTTAAAAAAAATTTCGTTTAACGAACGACCTTCTGGAACGAATTGTGTTCGTTAACCGAGGGACCACTGTAGTGCTTCCGTTTTCTATAATACAGTATATCTTTCACACACCGTGTATTCGAATGAGATGTTCACTCTGTTTGTTCTTAGTGCTTGCATGTGTTTTTGAGAGAAACAAACAGCTACCGACTGGGGGGTAGGGGGGTGTGCCATATAAATATGTCAGCCCGGAGTGGGGCCAGTATAACCTCTGCTGGGTGTCTCTGGTGCTGAGTGCGTAGGTTGCGAGGCTGGAGACCATCTGTGTGGTAGGTGTTCACATCATGTTCGTTTTCATCTTGTTCGGTCATCATGTTATAAATGGATATACTGTACTTATTTGACCCATAGTAATTTAAATTCACGATCGATGTATTCAGCCATTGAGCCACGAGTCAAGGTCATGGATTCATGATTGGTGTTATTGAGACTTCTGAAATTTTTGGTTTGATTGCACTATAACAGGCCTTATGTTTTTTTTTCCAGACTGTGCTTTTCACCAGCTGCGAAGAAAATGGACAAATTTATTACTCAACCATCCTCATCAAAACAAGAACTACGAAACCCACAGAGAGACGAGTCAAAATCTTCAGATGATGAGTCAGAGGTCACATCTGTTGTAAGCTCTGCTCATGTTAGGGAGCCAAAAATGAGAAAATATGATGACATTTACCTTAACTATGGCTTCGTAGCAAGCCCAGCAAGTAAAGGTGCTACCCAGCCACAGTGTGTTCTTTGCTCTCAAGTGCTGTCCAATGAGAGTATTAAACCCTCCAAGTTAACAAGACATTTGCAGACGAAACATGGCAATTACAAGGATAAGCCAAGAGTATTTTTTGAGCGTAAGGCAAAAGAATTGCATGGTACACAAGTCGGGATGAAGGCCACTACCACTGTGGATAAAAAATTAGTTAAAATTACATACATTGTGGCTCAGAAAATTTGTCAACAGAGGATGCCTCACACAATCAGGCAAACTTTGATTACGCCCTGTACAATTGAGATTGTTGGGAAATGCAAGGG